ATAGATAGATAGATAGATAGATAGATAGATAGATAGATAGATAGATACTACTACTTTATGGACAAGGACTGAATTACATTTGGTGTCTGTGCAGTCTATATCAAAATATAAATGATGATCTAAGCAAACAATGATCAAATTGTAAGATCTGCTGACCGACCATACTTTGATGGTTGAGAAGTAAAACACACGGGCCTCTCAAGGAACCTTAAAACTAACTAGATGTGTTGTTTTTGCAGCTTCTCATTAGTTCCGCAGTGGGGTTTGCTTTAAAATCTGAAGCACAATTTATTTCCTGTCAAAGCAACTGACGACGGATGGCTGGAGCCTTCGGGCGCATCAGACCCCAGGCCAACCTGGAGCCTACGGATGGCCGTTAAACGTGCCGCCCACGACGCAAGCCTGATGGCGTCATACACTATTTAACGTACCGCTTTGATACCAATTATGGCAGACAGAATCTGGAGTCACAGTGGTAAAGCGGATAGTGCGTTTGGAGGAGGGACTGCGTGCGCGGCCACTTGTGCGAGGCCACTTGTGCGAGGCTTGGCGACGAGCTGCACACGGGCGAGGTTACAGGTCCTTGAATTTCAGTGATATTCTGAAGACCTTTTTATTTACTATATGATGCCGAGTATGTTAACATGTAAGTCAGTTATTTTTACACTGATGTGTTAAAAGTTATTTTGCAAATATACTTCAAAGTATTTCACACTAATACATAGACTTAAAGCAAATGAGTATTCAGGTTTTTCTTTCCTGTATACAGTGTACAGTACTTAAAAACCTAGCAATGCCACGTGTTCTGCCAAAAGATGGCGCTATTAGACATCTTTAAGCTATAAGGAGCTGTTGTGTACTGCTCATTTGCACCAGAGACCCATTAAATCTGGAAAGTGTTCAACTGTTGTCATGAGTCAGTCATTTTCAAAGCTCATTTTTCAGTATTATCATCGTATATCCATCAAGATAACAGCAGACCTCCATTCAGCCAGTTGTTTTTTGTTTTGTTTGTTTTTTCTTTTTACCAATAATGTGCATTCGGTTGCAAAGCAAACAACAGCTTTTTAAAAAGCAAAAACAAAAGCTGATGCTTCACTTTATGTTCTCCTAAAACAGAGGATTGCATCAGCCACTGCTCAAACAACTCTCCAAAGTTCACCCTCTTCTCTTTTCTCTATCCTCTTGTTTGCACATCTGCATCTGGACATTGGAACTTCCAAACAACAAAAGCCGGACGCATCTGAACTCAGTGCTTGATCCCACATCTCTTTGCCCAGCTAAGTTCTCATGAGTCTGTGGGAGTGTCCTTTCGCTAAGTACTCATCTTCCCAGGCTCAGAGCGGCGTGGGGCATCGACAGACGGCCTGCCTCCGATCGCAGCACGGCGCTGCTGATTGGTCTGCTTGGTAATCTGCCGTGGACACTGACTTGTCGGTGGCGATGTCCCAGAGCAGCTCCTCCCTCCTGCGGGCGATCCTCCGCGCCGCCTCCTGGTATTCGGGAGTGTCCACCTGCAGGGGCCTTTCCTCGGCCTCATCGCGCTCCAGGTCAAATATCAGCGGCGGGTCGTGGAGCTGCTGCTGTCCTGTTCCACCCCTGCATCTCTGTGCTCCACCTCAAAGGAGACAGATGAGTGTGGCCTTTAGAGTTTCACATTTTTTTGGCTTTTTTTTCTTTCCTCAAAGGTGTGATGCATCATGAGTATTGTGAAAAAGAAAGTTTAACTTTTCTAAAGGGAAGGAGACTGTACCCTAAAGAGAGCCCATTCAATGAGCTGTATTACATTATAATAACACTTATTCAGGCCACAATAAAGGCAGGGCATAGCAAGTAGCAATGCAGATATAGAGGAAAAAGACATCATCATTAGAGAAGTAAGCTTTAATGAATTCTAATGCAGTATCCATTGCAATTTGGACATTACCTGTGATGTAGAAAGCTTTATGTTTTCCAACTCTAGCTGTCTGCAGGTCTCCATATGTCCCTGCAGCACCACTGTTTGGGTGGAGGAGAAACTACAACAAAGAAGAAGAAGAAACTGGATAATCCGAGCTGTCAACATGATGCAAAAAATATTTCACTATGACAAGAGTACCTCATGGCCACGGTGCTCTTGATGCAGGAGGACAGATGTGGCATCGATGCCATCATAACTTCTGTCTGAGGGGGTGGCCACCCCTGCCAGGGACAGAAGAGTTGGGAAGATGTCCATACCACTGCATATGAGAAAACCATGCACTATCCATTCAGGTTTTTGGCCCAAAGTTTGGAATGTGTCTGTATAAGGAAAATGCAGAACAGAGGTATCTGAGGCAATTTGATAAGTCTAGGCACATGGGGAAAGTCTGCATGCCTTAGCAGGGCTGAGCTGGTGGTGTTTGCAGGGATCCTTCCGGGCCAATAAACCACCGTGGGAACTCTGTGACCTCCTTCCCAGGTGGTCTGCTTAGCTGAACCTCCACCTAGCATAAAGATTTTAAAAAATGTAACAAAAGAACAGCGAGCCTCACAAAGCTAAATATTTTGTGAAGCTCCAGCCAGTACCAAATAACTGAACACAAAAATCTTTCAACTTTAAAGTCTATTTTTTGTACCTTGGTCATTCTGCCATCTTCCTGTAAAAGGCCCTACACTTCCAGCATACTGGCACTTCTCTTCCCATGGACCATTGTCGCCTGGACCATGACACACAAGTAGAACTGTGTTTAACACAAGTCGCATCCTGAGAGCCAACTCATGCAACCTGACTCACCGGTAAACCAGATGAGAGTGTTGTCTTTATCTGTGTCATCAGAGGCAGCCTGCACTGCCCCCACCAGAGCGTCCATCTCCTGCAGACTGGCGGCATACGCTCCATCACGGGGGTACTGAGCAGGAAGCAGGGCCACTGGAGCGGGTGGGGGGGCCAGCGGCACATGCATGTGAGCCAGTGCTATGTAGAGCAGAAACGGCTGTCCTCGCGCCCTGTGGCAGAGAACGTGGGCAACTCTAGAACACCTGTTGCCCTATTTTTCACAACCAGCTGCAATTACATCAAACAGCCAGGCCAGGCACCATTCCTGTGTCTGGCCTGCCACACGAACTCTCTGGTGAGGGGACATATGTCAACGATGGAGGCATTTCATGTTCACACAGAGTCCAACAGCCCTGTGAAGGAGACGTGTTTCCCCCACTCTTCAAAGGAATGCTGGATTTACAGGTGGAACACAGCACGACCGGCCTCAGCTCTCTTTGCTGAGTGAACGCCTGCGTACAGTTATGTGCTGACAGCACGTTACTGATCACTTCTGTGCCCTTTCACACGACCCGATCGTATAACATAAGGATATGTTGTCTATTATGGACAGCTGCAAACAGCAGGGTCCTAAACCCTCCTTCTGACCCTCACACACCCACCCCCCAATGCTTTTTCTTCTGTACAAACTCTCTCATCTAGAAAAGGCTCCAGAATCAGCTCTTATTTTACACTAAGAAAAAAGCTTTCAGATAAATGTTCACAAATGCATGCTATGACAGATCAACATCCCATATGCCTCACTTTCCCTGAAAACTCATTAAAGAGCCACATCAGTGCATTTGGAGGAAATCCCTTCCTCATAAGAAACTTGGAATTTACATAGATTGGCGTTGTGTGACTTCTGCCCATGCTTCTTTCTCCATTCCACATTCTCTTGCACCCCTTTCAAAAACAATGAACTGCAGATTATTACAAGCGCCAACTACTGATTTACTTGTTTGTTGGGCTAGTACAAGCATGTTCTCAAGTAATAATCTGCACCATGAAAACAATGATCAGCTGGATGAAAACGTGGCTTCAAACTGAAGGAATGTGACTGAGATCTGACTGTCCAGACACACTCACAGTGATGCTGTTCTCTAATGACGAAGTACGTATGTCTAACCTATTCTAATATTAGTTTTTATCTTTGTTACCTTGCATCACGTATAATCCTCTGTGCGGCTGATTTGTATTGTTCTGTTAGTGTCCACAGGTCAAGCGGTTGCTCCACTATACTGCTGTTCTCAATCAGAGGGAGGCCAACTTTGGAGTAACAGCCCCCGTGCACACTCCTCCTCAGCCTAGAGCATGGCAACAACAAAAGATGGTCACTTTGTAAATTCTATGGGTGAATGATGAGCGGAGACAGGATTTGGAGGTGTTGGGACCAAATAAGAATGGACTCAGACACAAAAAAAACTCCACATTCTACTCAAATATCAACAGAAGAGTCAACAGATATCTTTCCATTTCTTGCAAAAAGTAAACAAAAACATCAAGAATGAGAGGTCTTAACGCCGATTTTTTTTCTAATAATGATCAGCTCTTCTTTACTGCATCTGTTTCAACAAAAACTTTACACAACCACATTCTTCAGAATGTCATTGGTAGAAGTGTATCTTACATGTTAGAGCCAGACCTGATCACTTGAGGTCCAGGTGAGCCGCAAGGGAGGCACGGGGGAAGATTATATCCTGGTGCGTCAGTACAGCCCATATCATTGCTGTAGGGAATACCTAAGTAATAGTCAAAACCTGCCCGGAAACCAGAGAAATAGAGCACACATTTGATATTATAAGATCTGACAAGTGATCCCACACTGAGCTGTGCTGTCTAAAGCTGTGCTGCATTAATGAAAGCGTCTGCACAGTCACTGGAGTTCTGCTTAGACTTTTGTTTTCACGGCAACATCTACAAAAGAACATGGAGAATCTTGACGGAAACCCTTGTTGTGATATAGCCATGTAACCTCAGGTGCAGGAAGACAATGCAAAGCTCCAGCTTACCCCGGCTGGTCGGGCCGTATGGTCCATTGTGTCCAAGGTGCCATTTCCCGATCATGGCGGTGTAATAGCCCGCCTTCTGGAGCAGCTCCGACAGGGTCACTTCAGACAGAGGCAAGCCGGCCACAGAATTCACGCCAAAGTTATGGGTGACCCCGTTTCTTAGGCCATAGCGGCCGGTCAGGATAGCAGCTCGGGATGGAGAGCACGTGGAGGCGGGGGAGTGGAAGTCCGTCAGTCTGGAAGCAGAATAACACTGATATCTGTCTGACCTTTTGGGAGAGCGTCTTTTTTTTCCCCCCTTGGACACTTAGCGCAACTCAGTGGAGCAAATCATTTATCGTATGAACAAATTCTCTACCTTAGTCCTTGCCGTGCCATCAGGTTGAGGTAAGGTGTGCTGTTCGTCCTCCCCTCAGGATTGTTGACATCCAGGTCCCCCCAGCCGATGTCATCAGCCAGTATGACGATGAAGTTAGGCCTCTTTCTAAGCTTGACTTCGGCTTCTCGTTGGATCACCGTGTGGATCAGAAGCCCACATAGCAGCATCCCTGGCAGGAGCAGCAAGGTTAAGGCCTCCGCCATCTCGGCTTAAATGGTGCTGTGGTCAGGAAGTTAAAAAAAATTAGTCTCCCCTTCAACATACATCCTTGCCTTCTATTTATTCTAATCTTAAAGGCAGCTTCATATTTGCCTAAACTGGGCTGCACATGAATTTAAAACTCAGGTGGTGATGTACTGTATCTGTGGCATCAATAGTGAGAAAGTAGATCCTCTTAGACAGGGTGAGCTGTTATTCACATACACTAGCAATATAAAGATGGCAGTTCCCCTTGTTTGATAAAAGATGTCTGTAGTTTTATTGAGCAATTTGAAGTTAAGCCTCTAAGGGGGCAGAAGTTTTAAGACTGGGTGGTCAAACAGTAAAAAAAAAAAAATCTGGATATGAAAATACTTGCAATGGAATTATTCAGAAATCTTTTGGAAGTCCTAGTTTCTCACAAGGAGAATTATAAGCTCTCTGGTTAGGATCAAATTAACAGCAGCAGAATTCCTAACCTCACTTAGAGGAAGGTGTTGTGAGTCAACAACTTTCTACAGTGCAGCTCTTCATTGTCTCACAGGTCCATCCTGATAAACTCGTTTTTCTTGTTTGTGTGTTTTTTCTGGCACACAAAAATATGTAAAAGGAATGCACTGACGAATATTTTCCTATTGGAGTCCTAACAGATAAGTAGTTCTAAAATCGTGGTAATGTCTTAATTTACTGTTAATCATTGACCAAGGCGACAACAGAACAAGTTGATAAATTACAGGTTGTATCAGGCTTTGTTGTGGCCAGGGGGGGATTTAATCCCCCAAATGAGAGGGCAGCAGTGTAAACGTATTATTTTTGCGGTACTTGAGAAGTTGCAACGGAAAATGTCGCCAGGGGGTTGATGTATACGTGGACCGTATTTAATTCTGTGGCTTCACATGAACTTTCTGAGCTAGAGAGTGCTGTGTGTGCGAGGAATGAAGGGTTACAAGGTTACTACAGAACTGGCTGCGACCAGCTCTCTTTAACCCTTCTCTTCCCCCCGGTGCTCGTGACCCTCACACACACAAAGGGCGGTTGTACTTAAGCTAACCGCAATAAGCGCGTGCGCTAGCGTGCTCGTGGGAACGAGCACCAGTTAGAATATGTGCCGCATACGTACTGTCGTCTTCCGCCTTAGCTCAGGTCCGACGCACTCATGGAGGATTTGACGGCGGCATTAGGGCAACGCGAGGACTATTTCTGGCAGAAATTAGCTACCAAGAGGTGAGGCAGAAAACTTTAAACCATAGTCATTTGTAAAAAAATAAATAATAATAATTGAAAAAAGCCATTTGAGTTACATTTGCACGTCAAGCCCCTTTAAATATAAAGGTATACAAAAACTCGACGGAAGAATATTTCCAAATTATTAGTTAAAAGTTTCCACGGAGAGGCAGCCCTAATCCCCGCGCAGACTTTGGGCAGGGCGTTGCGTCAGCCGCACGAGGACGGACCGCGAGACGCTTTCAAGGCACCGCCGCGACCACTTCCACGCGCGGCCCCTTTAGGTTACGTCTGGTCAGCACGGCTGCTGTGATTAATTTTTATTATCTTTTTATGGGTTGGGACACTGACAGGGGAAACGGCGTGGTGGCTAACAAAATATGGCAGTTAAAAAAAAGGTGTATCACCTCTGGACAGGCATGGGTTCATAACTACACACGCAAAAACGACAGGAAATACATCCTGAATGCAACACTTAAGGATTTGTTGTGTTGTTGTTTTTTTACTTTGTTATTCAAAACATTGACCAAAAACTGATTAAGATTAAGATTATTCCCCTCCGACTCCTTCTATGCCCTGTTTGCCTCAGCCGTTTGGCTACTTAAACATAACACGGAAAAACTGTCGTTGCGTTTAATTGTGTTTTTCAGTTGTAGAATAACGTAACATGGCACCGCGTGCTACAAAAGCTCTGTATCAACAGAGAGACTGTGATTTGTTTGTTCTGTACTTTGGTCATATGGAAACTAGGTAAACACTTAAAATCCACGTTTTAAGATCTAGGTATTTAAAAAGAATTTTCGTTTTACACTGAAGTATTAACTGGGGATGGGTGTCTCTTGTTCTTTTATATATCACAAATGTCAAAACTAACCCTTAAGACTTTATGTGCCAATAAATTCCTTAAAGTGCTTGGATACATATTGTTTTTGGTGATGGACTATGAATATTTTTTCTCCCATTCTGTATGTGCTTGTATATACACTTTTGATCTGTTAAATAAAGTGCTGAGCAATGACAAAACCACACAGAGTCATTGTTTTAATTTACGTTCACATTCACGTACCTGATTTGTGAAACAGCTTGCTTTAAAGGGCGGATTTGCTCTGCTGTGTGCTTATCATACCTCTGCAGTTTATCCATGCCGCCCCCTGTTGTGAAATCCACCCAAAAATCTGGGATCACATGTTTTTAGAGGCGTAGAACTGGGGTTTAACTCAGTGAGGTGCAGGCTTTGAGCAAGCTGGAGGTAGGTCGAGTTACCTGTCATTTCAGCACCCAATAAAACTTTTTAGAGTAGCATAAATGACCACGTATGGCCCCAAATGTCCAGTATATACAGAGCCATGACACAGATGTGTTCTTTTAAAATAGAACACAACATGGGAACTATAAAAATGACTCGTTGCGCATGGGGCTGTTTTTGCTTTTCTTTATACAAACCCCATCATGTACTTTTCAGTCAACAAAAAGTAGTTTTTCTTAATAAAACAGTTGAAAAAAGAAAATTGAGAAAACTGCACATATTGACGCTTATTTGAATAACACTGACTCCTGGAGAGTCCATATGTATTTTCAAAATAAGAGACAGCGTGTGAAACTTTGATAATGAGTCTTGGATACACAGTATTACGAAACATGTGCACAGAACATTTAATTTGACCCATTAGTTCTACATGGGACTACCTAAATAATGTATTCAGACCCAGCTAGTGCTGAGAGAGGCTGATCTTATTTAATGCAGTTTTTTTGTGTGTTTTGTTTTCTCTTGGCCATTAACAGCTACAGCCCTGACGAGGTTTGTACATTAAACAGTGGTCCAATGTACAGAAAAAAATAAGTCTACGGAGCAGTCTGGTTCGGGGGTGGACACTGACGCAGGAAACGCTTTTGCCAACTTAAACTAACCTGGTGACGATGAGAAGAAACGAGGCTCCAAATGAGAAGTAAACCTTCTGGGTGTTGTGTCCGGTTCGGACCCCCCCATGCAGAACGTGACTTGGGGGGGGGGGGGGGGGCTAGGCAGGTGGTCAGGGTCCGGCGCGACGCTGGAAGTCCGAACGGGACGCGTCAGCATTTGTTTTGGATAAATAAGACCCAAACAGTTTTCTGGCGTTTCAGTCACGCAAAAGCTTAGGTATGCGCATTTATCTTACCGTAACTTGTAAATTAGACGGAGAGGGGGGGTTCTTTGGACTTGTGCGCGTCAGGAGTTTTTCGTGGGGAAAGCGGAGGTGCGCGTTTACGCAGACGCCTCTTCAGTAGTGAGTAGAGGATTCTGAGCCCCAGTTCCCAACTGCTCAGAATATATAATTAGACTTTTTTAAATGTGTTTTTTCTTTGTATTAATGAAACGTCTTTTCTCTTTTAAAGATCATGACACTTTGCAGGACAAAGATGAGGCACCTCCTCGGACCTAACGTGTACGCGGAGCCCCCTGATGGAGGCTGGGGGTGGATGATCGCGGTGGCCTTCTTCCTGGTGGAACTCTTCACATATGGGACCATTAAGAGCTTCGGCATTTTCCTCCAGGACCTGATGCAAGAGTTTGGGGAGACCAACAGCCGGGTCTCCTGGATTGTGTCCATCTGTGTGTTTGTCATGACTTTCAATGGTAAGTGCGTGTGTTGTGTTTAAGTGTGGCTGAGTGATAGTTGTAATCTGGTTGGTTTACGGTAAATCACAGATGGCTCTCTTTGGGTTTTCAGGTCCTCTCTCTTCTGTGCTGACAAACCGCTTTGGCTTCCAGGTTGTTGTTATGATTGGAGGATTACTTATTTCTGCTGGCACCATTGCCACCAGCTTTTGCAGCTCTCTCAATCAAATATACATCACCTATGGAGTAGTTGCAGGTAGATATTCTTTTGCCTATTCTACACTTTTAAACTGCAAATGAAGCTATAATTCTTTGACTCTGTTATCCAGCAATGTCTCCTGTGTACATATTTACTTCCGCACAGGCCTGGGCTACTGTCTGACCTTCCTGCCCACCGTAACCATCCTCTCAAAGTACTTTAACCACCGGCGATCTTTGGTCACAGCGGTGGCCTCTACTGGGGAGTCCTTGTCCATGTTTGCTCTGGCACCAGGTAAGAGAAAAGTTTGTACTACTGGAACAAATCTTTTTCGGAGCAGGCACATAGTTAAAATGTTATCCTTTCTCTTTTTTGTTTTAGCATTTTCTGCATTGAGGGACAGCATCGGCTGGCGACACACCATGGCTGTGATTGGGGCTTTACAGAGCATCATCATCATCTGCGGTGTGATGCTCCGGCCAATTATTATCAAACCACCCCCAAAAGAGACAGAGGCCCTCAGGACGCAGGAGAAGTCGGAGGGCACAAACCCGGAGGACTCTGAGACAAAAGACAACCAACAAACCGGAGAGTCGTGTCTCCAGCCTCTGAAGGACAGCAGCAACTCAGCGGAGAGGGCCTTACTGCCAAAAGGAGGAACGAGTAAGGAGGAGATTAAAGAGTCAGAAACGGAGAAAACGGACGTAGATGCAGAGAAGGAAGCGTCAAGTGATGAAGAAACCAAATCAGGGGATCAAAAGCCCCCTGCAAAGAATTCCAGACTGCTGGACTTCTCCATCCTCAGAGAGTGCAGCTTTATTTTGTATTCTCTTTTTGGCCTCTTCGCCACCCTTGGCTTTTTCGCCCCCACGCTCTACATCATCGAGCTGAGCGTGAGCCGCGGCGTGGAGCGGGACAAAGCCGCCTACATGCTGTCCACCATCGCCGTGGCGGAGATCCTGGGCCGCTTCTCCATCGGCTGGGTCCTGACGCGGAGGGCCTTGGTCAGGCGGAAGCTGCTGGTGCTGCTGGCCTGCGTCCTCGCCATGACCGCCGACCTGGTGGGGTTCACCCTGGTGAGCGAGTTTTACGGGCTGGCCGTCTGCTGCGGCCTGTACGGCTTTTTCATGGGGACCCTGGCGTGTACCCACATCCCCATGCTGGCCGAGGACGAGGTGGTGGGCATAGAGAGGATGTCTTCGGCCGCTGGCGTCTACGTGTTCATCCAGAGCTTTGCTGGACTGGCAGGACCGCCGCTTGGAGGTAAGAAGGATGTGGCCACCCCACAAAAATAAATGCATAAACGCAAAAGGGGATCCAAGCTATCTATAGCTTTTTCAAATATTTTTTGAGCCCTCATCGTCCTCTTCCCACAGGTGTGCTCGTGGATGCCACTCAGAACTACGGCTCGGCCTTTTACTCCTGTGCGGTCGGCATGGGCCTGAGCGCCGTGTTCCTGGGTTTGGTCAAACCCGCAAAGACGGGGGCACTCTGCGGGAAGAGGAGGAGGAGGAGGAGGGGCTTCAAACCCCCAGAAGACGAGTGCGAACGGAGTAGAGGGCAGAAGCCGGACAGCAACAACGACTGCCCCGAGCCAGATGGGGATTTGGACCCAAACCAGGCCAGAGGCAGGAGGGACACTGAGGGGTGCACAGCTTATGCGTGAGCTGAGAAAAAACAAGAGCCGGTGAGGCTGCAGGAGGCAGACAGCAGTAAATGAACAAAGACCACCCCTAAGGGCACAGGATCTGTTTAAGCGCATCTGATGACTCGTCATGCTGTTACGCCTTAATGGTTTCCAGTTTGTACTGCATATCCCCAACATGACCCTATTCTGTTTCTTTTCCTAAGTAATTACACTAAGTTACAGTCTTGCTACCACGGACAGTGGCACGATTTGTCTCTTGAAGCTGCTCAAAAGGAACCATAAGGATTCAGAGTGAACAGAGGTGCTACATAGAGGAAGCCTTGTACTGCTAGTTTATTTACCAGCAGCTGATAACCAGTTGCTGGAAAACACTGTGAATCAAAGGAACAACAGGCTGCACTGATTCTGTGACTCTCGTTTGAACTAAATCATGTTCCTCAGGTGTATGTGACCAAGAGGAGTTATCAAATCTTGAATCAAAACTGTTGTTAAACCTAAACTGTAAATGCACTCTTCACTAACATGACAGGTCACACTTTTTTAACCATTTTTGTACTGAGAATTTGTTCAACTATAGTAAAGCAGTGATGAAATTGACTTATTGTTTTTTACCGTATCTGTCTCGTTATCAACTATGAGCTATGCTTATTTCTTTCAAAACATAAAAACTAAAATCAACAGAAAGCTCATATGTGAGGTACTTTGGAACCACACAAAAGATTTCCTGTACATAAAGCTTGTTTACTTTTCATATGAAAAGACATGAAGAAGACAGAGGCTGTGTAGAAGATCTTTTACCAACCAGTGAAGGCTGGCCACACATATCGAGCATTGCTGCCAGAGCACGGTGGCATTTCACCAATAGGGAGGAAAAATAGGGGGAGATGGCATATACACCTGGATAATAATAAACACACTTCAAATGTCATCATAACTTACCTAAAGGAGGAGCTAAAGGAGGGAGAGGAGAAAAAAGTGCATTCTGAGTCACTTTCCAGCTGCACTGTCCAGATGTATGGACGGTGTTATAGTTCAGTTTTTTCAAGGATCTCCAAACACCTGCAGAGCCAGAGTTTGGATGAATGAAAAGCCTCGGTGGGTTTGGGAAAGTGGGGCGCAGCACGGTGTGCAGATGACTCCTCCGGTTGGGATTTATGATTACCATTCTCCTCCATCCAATCCAGTAAAGCCTGTTAAACACAGAGAAGCAAGCACACCCAAACAACTTAAGCATGTTCTGTCCTTAAGTTTATGTTTGCTTATCTAACATTCTGTGCTAAAAGATTTCCCATTAAGTGTCAAGGCAGAGAGGCTTAATGATATTCTCCACAGAGGACCTTTGGAAATGTCCAAGTGGGGGTCCAGCTTTAATTCATAATGCCAAAGAGAAGAGCACTATTTAAGCAAAGCCCACGCTAAAAGTTGATTGGTTACACCTGAACTTTCCAGTGAGATGAGTAAGAACATCTGACTCACTTTACCTTGTATCTTTCAGCAAATTTAAAGCCGACTGAGACGTGCATTTTGCGTAGACAGATAGGACAGAAATCCAAAGGCCTACGATCAGATTCCTCCAGATGGTTGGAGCCCTGCATGACACAGCTCATCCACTGGCAGTGCTTTATTCCAAACATGTGGCCGATCTCATGGGTCATGGTCTGCAAAGGGAAAACTAACGTCAGGGTAAATACTCACATCTCAAGCACCAAGGGTTTATTTCCCTAAGCAGTCAGCTTTCCTTAAATCAGCAACGCTGTAAAACAGACTTAGTTTTTTTTTTATTGCTGACGTTAAGATCATTTAAAGGTTCTTTATAGATAAACCGAGCCGTGGCTCGTTGGCAACCTTGCAGGATCGTAGTAGGAGGGTGCTGGTGATTGGTGGGGTGTAGTATCCCTCAAACACAGAATAGTCCCCGCGCTTTGGCTGAAGCCGTTTCCTCAACCTGCCGGCATAACTCCGGGTGTAGAAGTTGTCATCGTACCTGGCGAAGCTGAATACTCCCATTCCTGTGGATATCCAACGGGACAGTTAAGAGAGCGGGGACAGATTTAGTACAGTACTACCATCTAGTAATGATCAGCACCATCTACTGGTTAACTAGTGACATTACACCATATCTGCACCGCAAAAATGGAGACCCTCTACTGATTATTATTTACCTTCATGCATTTAGCAGACGCCTTTAACATTGTGCGGCTGCTTCAGAGTGACTTACAAGGATACGAGATAATTAAAGACATATCAGGAGGCAGACCGATGCAGACCAGAAAGGATGGGAATTGGAGGGCTGCACATCGTTTCCACAGCTTAGATAGTGTCGCATATTTGGGTAAAGGCCTCCCATTCTACATATATATATATATATATATATATATATATATATATATATATATAACTTAACGCTAACACGTTGCACCATTTTGTCAACGGGGCTGCGGGCATTTGGCAACTTTCCAACTGTTAACGCACCTTTACTGAATAAAACACAAATAAACGACCTTATCCATGATAAAATACTGAATTTCTCAATTCAGACTTGCACAGCTCACCGTGGAGCTGACACCGGAAGCCGTATCCGATGACGTCATGTAAACAGAGGGGCGGATCTATGGAGCGGAGACAATCTCGCCGAACGGCAAATTACTCCGGAATGTGAGTTCGCTTTGGTTGGAAACGCTTTGACTCGCTCTTCCTTTAACTTTCCCCACTTCTTCCCTTTTCGTCTGCCTCGCGTCGAGCAGGGGCAGCGACTTATCACGACCGACGGCAAAGTGGGCGGAATACGAAAGCGGAAGAACTTCTTCTACTTAGCTGGGGCTCGGAGGTAGTTAGCTTGAGGAGCAGCCGTTGCTCGGCGGTTGTGCGGCTGCCTGTGAAACGGTAGCAGTTAGCAAGTTAGCTAGCCCCCCCCTCTTCCTCCTCCTCTCTTTCAGCTCTCATATCTGGAGTTCCTCCAGGTAATACCGAGTGGCCGACAACACCCAGCCGGTAGCTCGTAAGTTTCAGTTAGGTCTCGGCCCGGGAGGCTGGCACTCGGCGGGCGGGGCAACTTTTTTTGGGGGGGGGCGGAGGGCAGAAGAAGTGAGGCTAAACCAGGCGGCGGAGGTCGGTTGCTGTCCTGCGGCGAGCTGTCTCTCAGCAGGCTGGAAATAGCTCGCTAAAAACGGCGTTCTCCGACGCGGGTGACCGGTGTGTGTGGTGGTGGGGGGGAGCAAAGCTCGACACACTGAGTTGATGCGAAATGGTCGTGGCGTCGAAGTTCAGCCGATATTTCTAAAGAAGACGTCTCAACCTGGCTTTATCGAGGAGTGTCAGTCGTTTTTTCTCTGCCAAAAATAAAACCCCCACTGCTGAAATGCTGACGGAAAACAGGTAACCATTTCCAGCCTCATCATTACATGTCGAATTGAATCGAGCCCCGGTTGTAATCTCACTGTGTCTTGAGCTCGGGCCTTAGTGACACAATGGAGTTGTCCAAATCCCAGACAGTGTGCTAGAAATCAGTAGTGCGTGTAACATGTCAACATCAGTGTCATTCTCACAGATCTAATGGGAACGCCTCATGTTAGTCATGCAACTGCCAGAGTGTGTGGGCTTCTATTTTTGGTTCCGCTCCATGTTTGCTCTTCCTGATTCTCTTGCTTCTTTCCAGCCAGTCTCCCTTCCCTTCCCCTCCCTGCGTGATTTTCATGCCACATTCACTGCTCCTCCCAATACGGGTTTTATTTATTTATTAATTTTTGTAATTTTTGCCCAGGAAACGGCACCACAGGTGTGACAGCGAGGAAGACCAACAGCTGAGACCTCAGGCCAAGAGGTCAGGACCGGGGCCCTGCCTGCTCGTGTCCGATCTGGACTCAGAGGTGAAACTGAAACGATGGTCACACAGACGCAGATTTGCTCAGTGTTGGTCTGAATGTGTGATGTTGTGCCACACCTGTCACCTAAGGGGGGGGGGGGGGCTACAGTGGCAGAATCTATTAACCAATGCAGTACATTCATGTGACTCAGGCTTGCACAGGCAATGCACCACTTTCGGGGGAAAGCTCTGAATGTTTTATTTACGGCCTTTGCATCCACTCATGAAAACCCCTCTCGCCTCTTCTGCATTCGCAGTCTTCCAGCAGCGAGAGCAGCAATGGGATCAGCAGTCCGGAAAGAGCAATAGAGGCCAGCACCAGGCCGTGCATACACAGCCAGAGCAACTGCACCAGCCCAAAGCCCGAAGGATCCGCCAGCTCCTTGCAGCACGGTCTCCATGGCGACGGGGGAAGTGACTCCTATGACTTCATCAACAGAGTCCTGAGAGAGGCGCACTTCAGCAGCCTCCTGACCAGAGGGCGTCCGGGCTCCACATGACCGGCAGCCGCGGGGCCCCTGCCGCCCTTTTTCTACGTCATCCGTCAGCGCCGACGCCGCCAGCGCGTCCGCTCCCCTCCGGGAACCCCGAGTGACAACATCAGGGTCAGGTGGAAGGCAATGATGATGATGATATGTGGGGAGGTTTACAGTTTTTGGGCGCAATGGCTCATCCCCACCTCGCCGTGTACCATTTTGTTGAGACCATAAGCACATTCGCCTTTCCATGGCCCAGCCACTGTGGTTTTCTGTGCAGTATTTATGTGTCCGTGTGTGCGTGTGTGTGTGCACGCACTCTGTGCACTTTATCAAGAGAGATCATTCTCGTTAAATGCGTGCGTCGATGCGTGGACATTTTCATTGGTGCTAATGACAAGACAAGTGTGATGATCCAAAGTGCTTGCAGATTTAAATAAAGTTTAGCACTTTAGTCAGAAAAAAAAATCCCTCTCACCTGAAGCGGTCTGTGACATGTTTTATTTCAAAAGATCACCAATGGAGGAAATGGAGGCATTTTTAAAGCAAACCCTCATTTTGTCCCTCTGAAAAAAGTTCTGTGTCCTGTTAGAGGAGCACATAGACTCTGGGATATGGAGGACCACTGGGTTCGGTGTAATGGATCTCCTTTCAAGAGCCAACCTTGGATTAGAATCTGGATAATTATAGACCTAGAAGTCAGTGCTGCCCCAGCTGAGGCACCAATGTTTTAAGCACAAAATTTAAAATAAAATAAGATAATTCAGTGTGATCAGTTCATATGCAATTCATAAAAATTAAGTAACTTGTAGTGTCCAAGCAGAAAACACCAGTACGATATATCCAGAATCACGTAGTCCTCAGTGCTGTAAGAAACATACAGCAGGTTTTATTGAACTTTTTTTTTAGTACGTTCAGTGAAACAAAATACAGCACTTTGGTTGCTTATAGTGTAACTGTTTGGACTACATGGTAGTAAACACTGCAATACTGTATGTTACCTAAGAAAAAAGTGAAATAGTGACAGTTGTGTCAATTGACAACATTTCTCGTGATATTGCAGATATTTCACACACCACTTCTCTAGTTCCTTAACAGTTGGGAATTGTTCACTGCAAACAGTAAGACAGAAATCATTTGTAAACAAAAATGTTAAGACAGCTTAGTCCCAAAAGTTTATGGAAGACTACTCTTTCATGTAGGTTTAAATAAACTGTAGTGCAAATTACAAGAGGAGGGGTTTCCCTCAGAGGTTCAGGACCTGCTGCAAAGGTATGAGTTGGTACTTAAAAGAAATCCTGAGTTAAAGAAGCTTGAAATGCTTCCCCACAAAGTCAAAACGCAGCAACTAAATTTGCCTTGACTGCATAACCCTCCAAAAATGTGTTCAGGGCACCCTGAGAGACCCCCGTACAACTACTGATGCACATTTACCCACTTTTAACTCTTTTGCCTCTACGTTCCGACTTCACACTCCATGGTAGAAATGAATTAGAAGCTGAAAAAAGACAGAACAGACACACATCGGATGCCCAGTGCTGCTACAGATAAAAAGCAGGAACCCTGATTGTTAATCTTCAAAGCTGTATTCCCATGACTTCTATGATCAGAAGTGATTAATAATTTGCATTAAACGGGCTGCATGTAACCTTAGAATAAACTTCTTTTTATTTTTTTAACCCAAAGCAAACAGCAAATATTAAATTTGGATGGAAAGCCCTTCTGGTAGCTTCCATGTCTTAATTTTGGGGCTCAGTACCAGTAGGTGGGTCTCCGCTCTGTTGCAGATCTTCTCTCAGCTTTAATGTTTCTGTATTTACTGTTCTTAGACTTTGTAAGGCAGATCAGTTTGTACTTAAACAACATATGAATACTTTTGAAACAAGTAAACCAAAAAACAAAACAGAAAAAACCTGACAAACAAAGCTCCCATATCTCCCCATGGTGAGATAAAGGGGCGTGTCATACTGCTCAAACACTCATGTAGCCCCAAACGACCACACTTGTTTTTTTTGGCCCAGTTTGCTGCTTAAATAAACAGCTCCTGAGGAGGCACGCAGACTAAGAAACCCAGCCTAAATCTGTTATACACATACTGTATTAGCTGCAAACAAAAATGTCCAGTCTTAGTCTGGAAAATCCCTTTTTTTTCTTAAATAAAAAGGATATAGGTGATGACATCATTGCCCAAAGTTTCATCTCTTTCTGCCGTCAAGAGTTGAGAAACGAGAATGCAGACGCCGACAGGCTTCTGTCGGAGGCCACAGGACTGCAGATGGAGGTGAGGTCCCTGGTGTCCATGTGGGGCGTGCAGCCCGGCAGGAGGTCAGAGGGGCTGGGCTGGTTCTCACCGGAGCCGCTGACCATGCTGTCCAGCTCGGCGTGGGCCGCTGCCCTTTCCCACGGCGGCCTCCCTTTAGTCACCAGCTCCATGCCGCTGAACAGGGACGGCCTGCTCTGGGCTTCGGGGGGAGGCGGGGGGCTTCTGTCTCCGGCCGGCTCTGGACCCTCTGCTGGTTTTATCTCACCTGTCCCGACCGGCTGCTCCCGCTGTTCCGCAGATTCTGGCCAGATGTCAGGTTCCTCCTGCTCTTGGTCGTGGTGGTTCAACAGCTCCGGGTCCAGGCTGGAAGGGGGTGATGGACAACTCGAGGACCGGGTGACGCCTTCAGGCTGACCGGGATCGGGGTCTGGGTTTTTGGAGTTGGTAGGTGGAAAACTGCCTGAAGGGATGGACGGGGGATGCTGACTTCCTGTGGCCTCTTGGCTGCTGTTGGCCGGGTCCTGCTTGGTACTTTGAGGAGATCCACCCATCAGAGCCTCAAACTGTCGCAGGATCTGGAAGCAGGAGAAAAGCACACAAGCACGACCTCATTTAGAGCACTTTTGGCCTATTGGTGATAAAAAACTGTCTCTTCCCCCCCCCACCTACCTTGGTGGCTTTGTTTGCCACTGGCCCTGAAGGGCCCTCGCTCAGTTGCCGAAGCCTGCGCTGAGTAGATCCGAACATTTGCTCCAGAGAGAGGAGGTCGGAGGTCATGAGGCAGGCGACAGTGCACAGGGCACGCTGTGGGAGTTCAGACAGAAAGTTACAGCACCCGCATGCGTAAACCTTTCGGAGAAGAGTGCTGTGGCTGTTACCATCTGGACGGTGTAGGAGGGGTCTTGGAGCTTGCTGGAGAGCAGCTCCACCACCACCTCACAGTTGAGAATGGAGCACCTGCCACAGACAGGAGGACAGGAAGTCAGGCCGCGGTTTACCAGACACACAGAGTCCCGCGGAGGAGGCCGGACTGACTCTTTGATGAAGTGCTGGCTCTCCTCTCTGGTGAGGAACACTCTGGACCCCTCGGTCAGCCTGCTGATGAGGGCCGTCTCCTGGCCGCAGTCCCCCAGCTGCAGAGCCTCCACCCTGGACAGCACACACACACACGGGCCGCTCAGCTCCAGTCAGAGGGAGAATGCCTCTGACTGAATCAGTTTCACTCTGCCCACTGACCGGTCCGACAGGTCCCCGCTGCTCTCTCTGCTCGCCCCCGATTGGCTCCCTGAACCGGCCGACTTGCTGCCCGCCGACGCCCTGCTGTTGGCGGCCGTGTCCTGAGAAGAGTTGTGAGAGGAGCCGTTGCAGCTGTCGCTCTCCTCCCAGCCGCCCCCCGCCTGCCCCGGGCACCGCACGGTCGCTGGGAGGGCGCACAGGAGAAAGACGGAGGGGTCACTTGGAGAAGAAACGCGTGTGGCCGACAGGTCTCCGGCCCGGCCAGCGGAGCCTGACCTCTGGGTCTGTGGGCGGGAAGGCTGTAGGCGCAGGCCGGCACGGCAACCTCGATGGGCGCCGACGGAGCCACCACTGCACGGTAATTGTTGTCATGGAGACGGAGGCCCTGGTGCTCGGTCGGGGGGAGGACAGCGCTGGCCACCACCTCGGCAGCCTTCTGGATCTTATCCAGTAACGAATCGCTGTTTGCTGACAGACAGGAGGCGAGGGTATAATCTCAGAGGCGTGAACAGGCGGGATGACCGGACGTGGGCCGACCGCTGGGCCTGCGTCACTCACCCGTCCCCTGCTTTCCCGGGTTGTATCCAAAACCCTGCATTCCCGACCTGTGAGGGGCCGCCGAGCCCATACCTGAGCAGAAACGCACAGAAAACCGGTTGTTCTCTGGAAAAAAAACACCACTTATATGCCTTTCTAATTTGTTACACATGTGTTATGTACAGTTATTGTTTTTAATATCGCTTACACTAGAAAGCTCATCAAGGTTCCAAAAAGCTCTCAATTCATCCAAGTGAGCAAACAACGTACACACTTTTTATCTCTTTGTCTCTTTTTTCTGTATTGAAATATCTTTATACTTTCATTTGTAATAAGAACTAGACCAGGTAAAATCATGTGGAGTTCCAATCTTCACAAAATAAATAAATGAAAATCAACAAACCTAAACAGGTTTAGATGAAATTCAGCATCAACACCAAAAGAGAGGACTCAGATGAGGTTTAAAATCAATAAATGCAACGTAAACTAGAGGAGTTGTTTTCTCATGAGCATTTCAGACTGGAAGATTTACAGTGATAACAGCAGGCAGGCATGAACTGACCTTTCCGCCCACATCTTTGAAGTAAAGTCTATATTATGAGAGGTTATAAACTGTTTATACCCCCATCATATCGCTAGCCTAAAACTTGAAGAATACCAAACAATGGTACCACATTTTTGTCAAATCACACCACACATTGCAAGTCCTAAACCACACATTTTATAGAAGTCTTGTGTGAAAAAGATGCAGCAATGTGTAATCCGAGTACATTCAAAGCCATTTCCCATCACCTACCCATCGTTGGAGGGGCTCTGCTGTGTGGCGGGATGCTGATGTTTGTGGACACTGCATCAGTAAAAAGTAACCGCGCCACTTCCTTCGAATCAGAGGTACAAAGAAAAGCATCAACCAAATGTAACTAGATTTCTAACATTTAGAAAAAATCATCTGTTCCGCCCTGTGTCTCACCTGTGCTGTGCTTCTCACTTTCTGGTACAGAGCTGTACCGTGGATGGGATCAGGAGGGCCACTGTAAACTGAAACACCCAGCAGCAAACCATGTTAACGTTCAGCATATGCGGCAGTCACACACGCGGAATTTTCCGTTTCACACCTGATGCTTGCTGGATGAAGGTGGAGTTCCGTCTGAGCTCTGTGAGGAAGTGATTTGAGCCATGACCACAGAGATGGACAAATATCTTCAGCACCTGACAGACCAGAGGTAAAACCGTCCAACAGGGTCAGTAGCAGACTGGAATAAAGGAGAATAGCTATAAAAAAAAAAATCCTACCTTAAGTTTGACATGGCAGGACTCCACTTGCAGCCTCTCCAGAAGGTATTCTAGCAAACACTGACCACAACTTAAGGACTCATGGGAGATTTCTGCACAGTAATAGTTAAGATTATAGCATTTAAATACAGAATGGCGACTATGTTTGAAACGGACCCAATTATTTAAACCAATTAAGTGGGTAAAATTTTTGGAGATTAAAAACAATAACATCTTTGTTAGGAATGCTATCCTATTTAAATGTATGGTTGTTTTTTTTACTGAGGACAATATACAATCCAGCAAACAAATCTTCTCTAACTTTCCAAGCATTGCATCAAAGTTACCATCTTTAATTAATATAATAGGCTGTACAGCACTTTAGAGAGGAAATAGTATTGTGTAACTAGTATTGCTTGCGATGGATACTTCCAATCTCTTGGAAAAGGTAGCCAGGACAGGGGTTTTCATCATCTGCTGTAGCCTTCATCAGGGTGGGAACCTTGAGTTGGGGGAAGAAATTATGGAATGGACTGCTTGTATCACATAAACCTATTCCGTTCTGCCAACTGCTTTTTCCTATCACAATTACTTAAACCAATGAACAATACAACGACATATCATAAACAGATATAAGAAATAGTTAAAGAAGATAAAAGAAGCACCTAACTTTTCCAATTTTACAAGATAAGCAATTACTCGTACTGTTAGCCAAGAGGCTAGTGGTAAGCTATGGTTTCCCTTAACTTAGCAGTTAAAAAGAGACGTCTCAACCTTAGGCCAAAATCTTGCCAGCTCTTAAGCTTTTTGTCAAGAAGCAAAATCTTTAAGTTTCACTCACTTTCTGAAGAAAGGCTAACCGTTCTACAAATGAAGCCATGATTTAGCAGTCCTAGCTGCGGGTTACTCATCTTCCTAAGGTTAATGGATGAGGGCGGGGCTCCAAATGACAGCCAGCCAATTATTTAACGTCAAGTAACACCTCGTGTCCGTCGGTCACCAGGTAACTTCCGGTTGGAGAACAGCGAATCATGTTGATACCCTTTCGATTGACAGGGACATAAGCGAATCATACTTCCTAACAGTCTTTTGGGACGTTTTTGTATTTATTGTGTAATCAATATGGCGCTGCCCATGGTTTACAACGATACCTCAAAGACGGAATGAGATTTACATGTCTTTTCAACATGGTTTGAGTTTGATAGTGCTTTTAAAAGCTCTATAGCAGTCTTTGTCTTGGAATCCGTCTTTCTTCTCTGTCATTACTTGAAAATCTAAAGAACGTTTGTTGGGAACTGGACCAGGACCATGTCTGGGTCAAACGTGTGGAGTCGCAGTCGGGAGAAATTGAAACTTTTTCCTGAAATTTTTGCACAATGTGCAGATGAGGTAAGCACCGACAAAAGCAAGATCCGCGGGGTTTTGTTGTGGGTTTGAGCGATGGCCCTCAGAGGTGTGTTGCTTACCTTTTTGCCACCAACAAAGATGTGGTATTGTACAATTTGTTTCCTCTGAAGAGCTTTATTAGATCAGTTCGTATGTATGTATGTATGTATGTATGTATGTATGTATGTATGTATGTA